TTATTTTGGGGGTGTTCCAGGGTAGTTTTATCATCATCATTGATTAGTGGCGACAGGGAGAAAAAAATCCAGGAGTAAGAGGAAGAAATGATTCCAGTGAATCCATTGACTCAGTGGTAGCATTGATCTACTTCTGGGAATTATTTATAGGAGAAGATTCATAGTTAATAATATTAGTTTGGACTTTGGGAGCAGTTTATCAGAGGCTCTTAAAGGCCTTTTGTAAAAATTAATCAGGGAGAGAACTAAGGTAGACAGCCTGGTTTTTGGGAGAGGGAAGGAAATGGGTTTTCTGGCATAACTTTGTCCACCCCAGGGTGAGAGGCCACACCAGGGATAACTTGGGGTGCTTGGATGTGTCCAAGAGTGAGAGGCTGGATTTCCAGACAACAGAGCTGGGGAAATCTTTGGAAAATTCCCCAGTAACTACCTTCCTGGTGCCCACAGGACAGTGACCCGCACCAGATCCAGCAGGGAGAGCTGCCCAGGGACAGCACAAACCCTCCTCTTCCCCTTCCTCTCCTCCCTGCTTTGTTTTTTGCTTTAACTTAATTGATCTGTATCCTGCAATCCTACCCGCAGGAGGAATGACACATCTGAAAAAAGCAGGAGGATTTGTTTAAAGTGAGCTGCTTGGGTTTTTCGCTGTGTGTATATATAGAATTGCCTGGAAGTAGTAAATAGAATTAAACTCTGTGGTTCTGAAAAACAAAATTCTCAGGGCTGTCTGTTGATTTCAAAGCTGGTGAAAACAAAGCAGGCTTTGAAATCTTTCCTTGCAGAGCTTCCCCCTCCTCCCTTATCATATAAAAGATGGGCTTGATAATATTTGGGTTTTATTCTTCTTTTGAAACAGTTGAAAAAATGCTGTTTTCTCAGTTAAGATGAAAATCATGATGTTTTTAATAAGGTCAGCGTAATGTCTTCATTAGCAAATGCTGAAATAATTTGATGCAAATCTGGAACTTGACAGAGAAAAACTTTGGTGTCTACCCAAAATGTAGAGCCACACTTGCACCAGGCTTGAACCAGTACTTCTTCCCTAAAGTTACTGGTTCTGGGATAATCTATCCTGTTTAGTGACTGGCTGCTGTGTTTTTAAGTAACTCCCTTCTGCCAGCCAGACTCAGTGGTTTGTGTTTGTTTTCCTGCCTGGCCCTGGGCTGCTGTGAGCCCCAGGGCTGGGCAGCACTCACTGCCTTGGGTTTGGTGGTTTCCTTTCAGGTGATGGAGCAGGTGGAAGCAGAGGAGCTGGCAACATGGGAGGAGGTGTAGAGCTCACCACAAGGAAACACATGTGACCTTAATGGATAGGCAGCCTAAAATGAAATCAAAAACATCCAACGCACTAAGTCTGCACTCTGCTGAAATTTTGTCTGCAAATATCACAACCAAAGCTGCTGAGTGCTGTGCAGTTAACAGCCTGTCCTCTGCGGCGAATCCCAGGGACACACAGGAAGTCTTTGCCCAGCTTTTTGGAGATGTGGATGGTGCCTAGACAACCCTGACCAGTCTGACACCACAGACCCTGAAGACATCTCTTCCATCACCTGTGCCACATCTTCTCCAAGGCAGGGCTGGCAGAGCCTCTCTCCTGGTGTGGCTCTGTGGGGTGCTGTGGGCACTGGGGTAACGCCCGAGGCAGACACACACCGAGAAGACCAATTGTTTGCAATGACATATTCTGCATTTTAAATGACCTTTGACTTCCTGGCAGCTCCCCAGCCTATCACCCCCTGGAATTCCATCTAAATAATGTTTGTCAGGTGAAGCCACAACTGGGCAGCAGGCAGGACTCTACTCCTCACTGGGGACCTCCGAAACCCACCGTCTAATCAATCTCCACAACCTGCTAAATGATAGATGGAATGTAATATAGGTCATTATTTCTTCCCTATGCGTGAAAATGAATTATTCAGTAAAGATTTAGATCCTTTTTATTATGACACTGAATTTATAGAGCACACAAAACATAAATGCAGATTTCTACAGCCCCAGATAGATTAACTCATTCTCCAGGCAGCGTGAGGTGGATTCAGCCCTTGGGCATTGCTGCACGGCAAAGATGGGATGTCCAAGGAGCATGGCTGAAGCCTGGGAGATTGGGGCCTGCCCCCTTCTTTACCTGGAACAGCATTCCCAATCCATGCCCAGCTGGTTTAGGAGCCCAAGATCTCTTTGTTTCAGAAGTCAGGCTCTCAGGACCAAGAGACATTTTTCCAAGGACATTTGGGGTCTCATGTCATTTTGGCCTTATAAATGCTGATCTTAACAAACTCTGCACCTCAGTCTCTTATATGAAATGGGAGTTGTAAAAATGGAAAGGAAATTGGTGAGGCTAAAACCTACTAATGAGAGTAGGTGCTACGTGAGTACAGGGACAGAGGTGATCGTCCCAAATTTGTCTGTCCTGCAGAGCCACCACGGAGGATCTGGGCTGGTTTGAATCAATAGCAGTAACTTTCCTTGTTATCGGACTAAATGCTCCAACTTTTAATTGCGCAGCTAGGGAGAAGGTTATCCCTGGCCAGCAGTTACAGATGTCAGCTTTGCAGTTCATTAGCTACTTCACAAATTCTGTTGGGATTTTGGATTTTTAGCATGAACATTAGAGGTTGGAGAGGAGGAGAGCAGAGGGCAAGCCTGCAAACTCTCAGTGGGCTGGAGGAAAATCTGGGATTGGGACTGGGTGCTGGTGACTGTTGCCAAAGGAGCAGGACAGAGGGTCCTGATTTATCACCCATGGCCTTCAGGTGCTGAGCATGTCCCCAGAGCATCCCTGGTGCCATGGGTTTGGCTTCTCCTGTGACAGCAGAGTGCTGAGAAAGAGCAAAACTGACTGAACAGGTTGAAACTGGCCACTCCCCTGAACCCTGCCTCAGCTCTGGGGGAGGTGGAGAGAGAACATTCTGATCAAGTCTTCCCAAAGCCATTTGACCTGCAACGTTCGCTGATGGAAGGGATAGCAGTGGAGATTTCCTTTCAATATATAGCAATCCAAATTTCTTTCTGAGCCATAAGAAGCAGCACCGAAGTTTCTTCTGTCCATCAGCAAAATCTGTCTTGTGCTTGTTCATTCTGGAACCCCTTTAAAATTCTGCACCGCTGCCAGAGAGATTAAAGGGGTAATATAACCCCAGGAACCACTCTCCTGACTAGTAATTTCCAGGTGATTATTACAAGGAACAGCTAAGATCTAAAGGAGGCTCAAAGTGGGGAGAAAAATACTGTTCTTTAATCCTCCCCATCCATTTCCTTTGCACATTGGTGCTGCTCACCTTGCTGGGGCAGGGCCAGGTCAGCCCCTTTTCCTTGCCCACTCTGGAGGAGTGGAGCCTGCCCCACTGCTGAGCCAGAGTTCAGTACTTCGTGGCAAAACAAAACTAAATGATGGGAATTATATCCCATTTTACAGTGGTCAGCATCAGAGCATGAATAACAGTGTTTCTCCAGTGGGCCTGACCTTGCAGCCCTGCACACATCCACTCATACCCACCTTGTTCATTAATCCCTGCTGGAAAGTATATCCACATACATCCCCCAGCCCCAGTAAAAATATTATAATCCCTGAGCCGGAAATAGTTGGCAACCCCAAAACAGCTCTTGAAGGCTTGGCTGCTTGGCTCCTTGGCTGGGAGGCACTCAGTGCTGGACAGGTGGAGGAACTCAGAATCCACGGGTGTCTCTGGAAATGTAGAGCAACGTGGCTCAGTACCGCCAGGCGGGCGGCCTGTGCTCCCACCAGCCGAGCCTCATTGCTGTAGATAATCACAGCAGGAGCTGCCGCCCCGTCCCGTCCTGCCTGTGGGGCCGAGGGGCTCAGTGGTGCTGCTGGAGCCCTGGAATGAGGCGACACTGGGATATGTGGGACACAGGGCCACAGGACACATGGGGGCTCTGGGGCGCAGGAGCTGCCACAGCACCGGGCTCCAGCCTCTTTCTTTGAGCAGCCCCAGAAAGCTGCAATTTAAACCCGGCGTGTTCGCAGGGTCCGGGCGGTGCCGAGGGCAGCGCGGGTGCCACGCCCAGGCTTGGTGACGAGATGGCACCACTCAGTGCCCGCGGGGACAGTCCTGGGTGTCACAGACCGGGTGTCGCGGTCCCGGGTGTCACGGTCCCGACTGTCACAGACCCGGTGTCACAGACCGGGTGTCACAGACCGGGTGTCGCGGTCCCGGGTGGCACAGACCGGGTGTCACAGACCGGGTGTCACGGTCCCGGGTGTCACGGACCGGGTGTCACGGTCCCGGGTGTCACGGTCCCGGCTGTCACGGTCCCGAGTGTCACGGACCGGGTGTCACGGTCCCGGGTGTCACGGTCCCGGGTGTCACGGACCGGGTGTCACGGTCCCGGATGTCACGGTCCCGGGTGTCACGGACCGGGTGTCACGGATCGGGTGTCACGGACCGGATGTCACGGTCCCGGGTGTCACGGACCGGGTGTCACGGACCGGGTGTCACGGTCCCGGGTGTCACGGACCGGGTGTCACGGACCGGATGTCACGGTCCCGGGTGTCACGGACCGGGTGTCACGGTCCCGGGGTGTCGCGGACACGCGTGAGGGACGGACGCGCGCGGGGGGGACGGGAGCTGCGCGGGGAGGGCGCGGTGACGTCACGGTGACGTCACGCAGGGCCACGCGCCGGCCTAGGCCCCGCCCAGCGAGGGAGGGGCGGGATGGAGGGAGGGGAGGATGGCGGCGGGGGGAGGGAGCGCCGGCGCGGCGCTGAGCTAAGCCGATCCCACGTGTGACGGATCTGGCTGCTGCCCCAGCGCCTCTCCAGTGAGATCCTCCGGTAGCGGAGGGAGGAGGAGGAGGAGGAGGAGGAGGAGGAGGAGGAGGAAAACAATTCCCCAACTGCTGGAAATGTTTCCTTCATGTGAAC